GCAAAGCGTTCCTCCAGGATTGGCAGGGTTCGCCCCCTGTGCTGACCCTTGGTGGGGATCAGCTAGAAGTCGTTCAGAAATTCAATTACCTGGGAAGTTGTATCAGCGCCCTTGGGATCGAAGACGAGATCACGAACCGCATAGCGAAAGCTCGAAGTGCTTTTGCTAACCTTCGCCACCTATGGCGACGGCGCGACATTACTCTCGCCCTGAAGGGTAGAGTGTACAATGCAGCGGTACGTTGGACCTTACTGTACGGTTGCGAAACCTGGCCCCTAAGATCGGCGGACATGAAGAGGCTACTTACGTTCGACCATCGGTGCCTTCGCAGTTTGGCTCACATCTGGTGGGAACACCGCGTGAGTAACGAGCGTGTTCGACGCCTTGTTTACGGCCTAGGAAAAGGGAATGAACCGCTCAGCACCGTTATTTTCCGCACCAGGCTCCGATGGCTCGGCCACGTGTTACGTATGCCAGCCCACCGACTCCCTTGACGTGCGTTGTTTGCTCACCGGGGATGTGGGTGGAAGAAGAGGAGAGGTGGCCAAGCGATGACTTGGTCCAGAGGAATGAAGGCCCTCACTTCGGAGCTGGCCTCAGTTGGAGCTTCACGGCTCCCTGGTTGGGGTCCAAAAGACGGTGAACACGTTTGGCTGGATACACTTGCTGATATGGCAAGGAGCCGACCTCACTGGCGTTCCTGCTGTGAGTTTCTTTGTCCCTCCCCATCCCTTTAGCCTCATCCTCCATCTACGATCTTATTTCGTAGGGTAAAACGTAATTAAATTTTTGTTTTTGCCTAGTAGCCGGCTAGTAGCTTACCGGAACGATGCGTATCCGTTGCTGGTAGCTCAGCTGGCATTCAGCTGTCGTATTTATTTTTCCTTTATGTATTGTATGTATGTACGTATTTCCTTTATGTATTGCGGTACAATAGCGGAGGTGTTTTACCATCTCTAGCTGACATGTATAATGATGATGATGATGTGCTCTTCAGCTTCCTCCACTTCAGCCTCGAATCAGTTGTAGTGGTGATGGTAATAGTAGTAGTATAGTTAGCAGTCTATCAAATAGACAGAGTCAATCATGGATATCACTAAAAGAAGACAGGCTGAACACTGTATCATCCTTATGACATGTTAACTGTAGATGAGCGACACACCAGGTATTGCGCCGCAATATAAAGAATAAGGGCATTTTTTGTTATTTTTCACACGCATTTTTTAATTTTTTTTGTCGTTTTTACTCATTAAGCATTAAGTATTCAAATTGAGCGGTTGTATACACAGATCCTTCACTAGTTTCGATTACAAGCCATATCCTGAATTGTTTCCGGCCATCTTCACTCCTCGTCCTTTGGTCCCTAACCTGGCGGACGTGTGTTTCTAATAGTAGCAAGACTTGCAGTCAACGATTTCATTTGCTGTCGCCAGGTAAATGATGAACCATCACATGGTCCCTTGCATTTGAGTCCTGCACGAGCAAACAGAGCGCGATAGGGTTAACGCTCAGCTGACATGCGCAGGACATGACCGAGCCATCTTAACTGGCGCAGCAAAACCCAGCAGGCTGAAGGGAATACTCGCATTCCCTAAGACATGACGTCTGACTTCACTGTTGCAAATGTTGTTGCAACCACACATGAGCAATCTATTAGCACCCGTTGTCGAAAGCAGACAGCCGGCGCATATCGCCTTCGCGAATTGACCATGACTTGCTTCCATATAGCAACACTGCCCGAACGTTAACATTGTAAACACGACCCTTTACCAATAGGGAAATACCCCGGCGACGCCACAAGTGCTGCTGGTTGACAAACGCCGACCTCACTTTGGGGTTGTGATGAGAAATTTCCCTTCTAATGGTACCACCAGCAGACACAGCTACCAGGGTAGACAAAGCTATCCAGTTGTTCAAGCTGTGTACCTACAATATTGAGCACGGGAACAGTTGAGTGCCAGTCCAGAAACAGCAGTTTACACGTTGACCGGGCAAAACACATTCCGTACCCAGATACCTCAATCGCCAAGCGGTCTAGAATCGTTTGCTTGCTCTGTGAGTCCTCACCATTAAGGCGACATCATCGGCATAATCTAAGTCGATTGCTCGCTTGCGCGGTAATAGCTGTATATCTATTTGACGAAATTATTTACTAATCTAGGATTTTTTTGAAAAGCACGGTAAGAAGACGAAAACTGGTAGATGCATGCATTTCGTATTGTCTCCTCAGTACCATTAACAATAACCGGTATGCAACTACATACTTAATTATGTGTGTGACCGAATAAGCATGGGGTGCAAAATGAATGACGGAAGTTCCACCCCTATGATCTAGGATTATCGTATGATAGATGTGCATAAGTAATGTGAATCGCAGGAGCGGGAGTGAAAGACATAGTGGTAGTAGTTGAGGTATCCATGGTTTTGTCAGCGGGCGAGGTACTACCCGGTTGCCCAAGCCGAGGTAACGAGTTGTCTTAGGGGACACCACCCGGAGCCTTTGACTGAATGACCTACCCGCAAGGTTGCGGAGCGAATTCAGGGAATCGCGCCCATTTGGAGCCGGTGACTGATCACTCAGTTCTTACTACTTTCGTTTGGACGCTTGCTAAACAAGAGCCCAATTCTTCCCACTCTTTCAGCATCGGATTGCTGGCATACAATGCTCCACCACAGTGAAGCAAGAGGCAGTGACCTTATTTAGTGGCGAGTCACATGCGCCACGTCACAGTGTTGCTGGGCAGGCATGCGTGGCTTCTTATAGGGAGAACGCTTGTCAGGTGAAAACCCACCACTTCCTGGAATACTGCCGCCGAATCATTGTCAGGAACAGTGGATCCCGAACCACCCAGTTGGCACCACAAAGAGATTGTTCAGCAAGCCCGCGGTGCATATCGTATGGATTTCTGGAGCTCCGATTAGCCTGATTAGAACGCGTATAATTTTTCACCGGGATATTGCTTTGGTAGGGTTCACCTCACTGGACACCTCTCATATGTTCCTAAAGCACGTTCTTAGTCTGCCTTAAACACTGAAACTAGCGGTCTGAGAATCGACCGGGACTGGTGGTGTGTTACGTTGGCAAACGATGTAGAGAAGGCCAGCGTCACTAGGAACACTAGAATATCGCTCCGAATCACTCGGTTTTTTAATGCACGAAAATTCAACCATCAGGGGTGCATAAACGTGCATTCTTGACTTGAATAACATTTGCGAGTGGGACAATAGATGAAATAGACGAATATATGGTTCATTCTCGGATAGAACGCTGAGCTGAGCATTTAGGTGCAGGTGTATGTGATTGTTATATAGATCACTTGGAACGTTGACGTAACATAGGATGATGTATCGATATCCTTTATTGAAATACTCCTGAATAACTTCGGGTCATCGAAGTCAGAGATGATCACTCAGGATAAGCACAACACCCCACTAATTTCTCCTGTTTGTCACGCAGATGATAGAGGAACTGCTACTAAGTTCATGATGTACCGTTCCAGGTCAACGCAGGACTTATCATATGCGTGTAAACTTCAAACAGCTTGGCGTTAGGAAGAACACTTCCATTCGAACTTACGATGTGCCGTTTGTTAATCATTCCTTAGCTGTTTTACCCAAGTTTCGTTGGATAACTTCACTGACGGATCAGGCTGTTCACAAACGGTCCGATAGTATTTTAACAGTTAAAAAGGCAAAGTAAATAAGGAACATTCAAAGTCAGTGGGGCTGTATGAATAAAATAAGCCAGTGGTATGTGTGCACCATGTTTTTTTAAGATTAGATAATTAGTACGGAGGATCCTGTCTTTTTCGTCGTCCGATCATAGTAACTCAAGAGCTACCACAGTTAATCAAGCATCCACATGAGTATAGCGGCCACTCGGAGTGACATAAGGATTACAAGATGACTGAACCGCTGAGTTCCAGTTGGACGCTGGTGTCACCACCACCGTAATACTCCGTGTGCATTGTCTCGGAATGTATATCCAACTGGGTCATTTCTACTGCACCAATGGAGTGGCTTCAAACTGCACCCAAATGGCTAAGATAACATCGGTGCTCATTTTAAAAGACAGCACATCGGTCGAATTCCGTGTTTATGGAGTAACAACTTATTCCGATTCACCTTTAACCTGGCAAGTCTTCGCTGTTACTTCTTAACCACATGCGCGTACTAAGCGGTACACGCGCTCACATGCACAAACTTGCACGACTGGCCCTCTACGCTTCGAATTTCGAGCGGTGTAATGGAGTAGTTTGCCAGAGACGAAATCGGCGTGGGAATTCAAGAATCTCCTAACCTCCAGTTTGCAAATCATATGTTTGGAGAGTGTATCGCACCGAAATAAGACGTTATTTATCTGTAACGCGTGATAATTAATAACATTACTCCGCCTTTGTCGGATCAAACGTTGATAGAGAAACACATATCTATATTTTCGCTCTCTGTTTTCTTATTCAGTTGGAAATGGACATTTTTAGCCACTATTTGCTTAGGTTTAGCCTTTTCTCAGGGAGTTTGCCGGAAACCGCTGTTGTTGTTAAGCCCTCCCGTACGACCCATTGCACCGCCTATTAAGAATTTTCCACTATGATGTGTACATTGATGAGATGAACAAGTTGATTCTTTTGAGTCTGTTCGATAAGGTTTACGAGCCAACTGACCATTGATCACGTTGCGATCATTACAAATTACAGTGGCTGGTCGCGAGTGTGCATTAGCCCAAAACCACTGAACGATGCCGCACTTAAAATCATTATGCACTGTTGACATTGTCCCACATGGAGTGTCGAAATCACCAATCTTTTTCATACACCGCTGTGAGCTGATTTTGCTCCTACATGATTCACACCGTGCCGATCACTGTTTAACCAGCTACCTTTAGGGTTTATTCACTAATAGCCCTACCCTGGGTACAATGAGCCCGGTTACTTCTTCAGATAACTAAGCACTTAACTGTAACATTGCTATTAAAATTCGTTGCTTTTCCATTTTTTTAGTAAGATTCACCGCGAAGATCCTCGTTTTCCTAGTCTAGCGGGTCTGGATGAATTCGGCTCTCCAACTAGCGGCGGGCTGCAAGCTTCTCCGCCATCACCATGCGTCGATGATCTTCATCGACCACACACTTCAAAATCCTCAGACGTTGATGTGGTCACCGACGATGATGAGAACGAAGATGAAGAGGATGATGATGGAACGGAGAGCAGCTCCCACGGTTCGTGCACGCCACCAGGTGGTGTTTCCTCAATAAGCCAAACATCAGTTCTCACAGCTGCCTGTGAATCTGGATCATGGCCTTTTGTTGCTAACCGTTTAACTCTCTCCCCTGTTCTCAAGCCTCCATTACGTGATCTGGCTCCTGATAAATTAAGCTCAATCGAAAACGCAGTGAGTTATGCTTAGCACCTGCTGCGCGTTTTAGCAAACGTTTTCTTTCTACTACCTTCCTTCTACTTGATCTCACATGAACTTGACCGAAAAATCTTATCCATATCCCTAGAAACTTTAGTGTTGAAAAGATTTTCATGCGAGTCAACTTTTCATGTAACTAGGATGTTACATTGCCAGGTTTTGGAGCGTTTGTTGTGTCTTGGATTGCGACACGCGATCTCAATTGTGGCCTCGGTTAACTTTGATTTCAGCCTCTGCCATTCCGATCAGTGGGACCGTATCCGAAGTGGAGGGTTTGGGTGTCGCTGTCCCCCATCACTGCACTTCACGACGCGTTTTATTTCTGTTTGGACTCATCATGTAGATAAAACTTGAATTAAGAGTGGATTTCTGCTCATATTGCTTGACGGTTATCGTCATTATCAATAGACCATTGAGCCATGCGAGTTTAGGGGCAGGCACGAAGATGTTTAGTACATTGATGCAAAGGCTACTCTCATTTGCGGGATTCTTTTTAAGCCAAGCTTTTCTTCGCATTTGGGTCGTCACTGATCCCCGTTCCACAGATGCTTTATAATTTAGGGTTTACCAATCGCTTTGTGCCGCTGATCGCTACGGTCAATTGTTTTGCCTTGCTTCGGTGTTAAACACGACGTAGTCATGAAGTCAGTCGTGCTCTTGTCTTCGGCCCCATACTCTTGACCCAAGTTTCTTTTGACTGTTGATGTTTCGCGCTGCAGGCTCTTTCGTTCGCCATATTTCCCCATTGCCCCAATATTATTATTATAATATTATTATTTATGATGATCGGGTCCCCTGTAGGTCAGAGCGCTACTCACATTTGATCAACTGATCCGAATGATCGTGTTTGATCTACCCCAACCAGCTACCGAAAGCTGCCATCTACATAATTTCAAGATTTCCTAATCGGTCATTGGCCGAGTGGTTCACTTATGTCTGCCTTGTAATCAACAGGTCATCGGCTCGATTCTGCATAAATGCAGTGGACTTCGCATTGTCGCTAGCTAGCCCGCGACTGGTGGTGATAGCGCAGCGACAATGCGGTGTGCAAGCTTCCTGCAGATCATCCTCTCTGGTCCTGTTTTCCTTAGAAGTCGTTCAGAAATTCCATTACCTGGGCAATTTTTCAGTGTCTGTGGAATTGAAAGGAGGTCACGAATCGTATAGCAAAAGCTCGAGGCGCTTTTTGCTAACCATCGCCCACCTCTGGCGTCGGCGCGACATCACCCTCTCCCCGAAGGATAGAGTGTGCAATGCAGCGTACGTTCGATCCTG